GTGGAAGCTATCCTTCATTAATCTAAGGCTATAAACTCACCTGGTTGTAACCCCATGAGGAGACAGCTTAGACAAGGTAACATTGCCTTAACCATGTACTGTCCTGTGTTAAGCATTTGAACAGAACACTATCATCTTTACCTTTTGACTCTTTGTATTAGTTTCTAAGGTTGTCGTCACATTTCATTGCTTAAGGTGATCTCAGACTAATGGATTTGTCATTTAAGTAGCAGATGTATTAATAGACATGATGAATTAGAGCTTTAGTTGTTTGGGACTCCTGTAGTGAAGTTACAATATATAAATCGAGACTGACAATATATCTACCAAATTTGTTATTGGCCAATGTTATATATATTTTTTTTTATTGGTATTGGTTGAAATTAAATATTTAATGTGCATGCTCAGTTTCTCTGTTTATACATTTAAATGACCTTTGCTGTCCGGTCACATAAAGTTAATCTTTGACAACTTTAATTGTTTAAAAAAAAATTTAATAACACTGTTAGATTTCACTTGTAGCATTTCAGACATTTGATTTTAGGTTTTAGAGTTTTATATAAGGTACATCCCATACCACGTACTTCTGCACTATTCTATGATGTTTTGTAGTATAAATAGTGCGAGTAGTGCGTTCACACTGAAAATTCCAAAAAGAAAAAGTGCACTTTAAATACCCGGATGATGCACTTAACTGAAAAAATTAAGTGTGGAATGTTGGACATGCTTTAATTACGTCATGAAGGGGGGCGGGGCTGTCAGACTCCAATTATTAATGACAGAATAACCTTATAAAATTCCTACACTAGATTAGTGCATAGTGCATAAGTACATAGTGTATACGTGCATATTGTATAGTGCGTCATTTGGGACACAGTAATAGTTTTAATATTGGTAATTTATTAATGATTGGCCATAGCATAAAATAATTACATGCTTATCTGTATTGATCAGAATATTGTGCATCAATATAAAGAAGTTTTGGAGTGAAAATTTATATTCATTATTTTTTAACACACAAATATGAGACATGATTGCATTTATTTGGAAGTGGATGTGATTGTCCTAATTTTGTGTGATATTGATTTTACATTTGCACAGAGTGGATGTCAATATTGTATTTATTTGCAAAATATCTCTCAGTTTTATTGATTAAAAGTTTTCCTGATGCTTTTAATAATCTAACAGCATCATTGGATTTAATGTAACTTTTTTCACAACAACAAGGCATCAAATTTCTGTTTTCAGAGCAAGTGACACTTAGTATTTGACCTCTAAATAGAATGTAATATCCATTGTCAGAGGACAGTTGAAAGCATAATGCCAGTCACTGCTGTTTTTGCTCAATGCTACTGACCTTGGTAAAAAGACACTTTTTCAAAACATGGTCCAGAGAACGAATCTGTCCATTCAGCACCTCGTATCCTTTTTAATGCCAACGCTGAAGTAGCCGTAAACACCGCTATGAACGTTGAACCCTCAGCTTCTTTAGCAAGGCAGTGGTCGTCTTGGAGGTGTGTTTGGGGTGTGTTTATCATGTTGGAAAACTGCTCCGCGGCCCAGTCTCCGAAGGGAGGGGATCATGCTCTGCTTCAGTATGTCACAGTACACGTTGGCATTCAGGGTTCCCTCAATGAACTGTAGCTCCCCAGTGCCGGCAGCACTCATGCAGCCCCAGACCATGACACACCCACCACCATTACTGCTTGACTGTAGGCAAGACACACTTGTCTTTGTACTCCTCACCTGGTTGCCACCACACACACTTGACACCATCTGAACCAAACAAGTTTATCTTGGACTCATCAGACCACAGGATATGGTTCCAGTAATCAATGTCTTTAGTCTGCTTGTCTTCAGCAAACTACTTGCGGGCTTTCTTGTGCATCATCTTTAGAAGAGGCTTCCTTCTGGGACAACAGCCATGCAGACCAATTTGATGCAGTGTGCAGCGTATGGTCTGAGCACTGACAGGCTGACCCCCCCACCCCTTCAACCTCTGCAGCAATGCTGGCAGCACTCATACGTCTATTTCCCAAACACAACCTCTGGATATGATGCTGAGCACGTGCACTCAACTTCTTTGGTCGACCATGGCGAGGCCTGTTCTGAGTGGAACCTGTCCTGTTAAACCGCTGTATGGTCTTGGCCACTGTGCTGCAGCTCAGTTTCAGGGTCTTGGCAATCTTCCTATAGCCTACGCCATCTTTATGTAGAGCAACAATTATTTTTTTCAGATCCTCAGAGAGTTCTTTGCCATGAGGTGCCATGTTGAACTTCCAGTGACCTGTATGAGAGAGTGAGAGCGATAACACCAAATTTAACACACCTGCTCTGTTATACAAGCTGTACACTCACTACTTGACATTGTAGCAAAGTGTCATTTCTTCAGAGTTGTCACATGAAAAGATATAATAAAATATTTACAAAAATGTGAGGGATGTACTCACTTCTGTGAGATACTGTGTTATATATATATATATAAAATTGAAGATACTGTTTTGTCAGATTTTAGTCCTCATTATCAGATGATTTACTGACGTATTAGAATATAAGAATATTTACATATGTATTTATCTATAGCTTCAAAGGTTCCGTTTTCTCACAAGGTTTTTTGCATGACGTAAGTGGTGTGACATAAATGACTTCAGCTGCTCCAAGCAAGTCTATCACCACAATCTGTAAGACCCGAAGTGACGGAGAGGATGGAAATGTTCCTGTCTCTATACTTCAAGGACAGGGCCTGTAGCTGAGCTTTGCCGTCACCTACTTCAGCATCTTTCACCTCTGTTTCCAGTGATTCTCCTTGAGCTTTGGGTGCGAGTTTCAGTAAAGTGTTGAATGTTTAGTTGGATGGAACAAACACTGTGATGCAGCGTCACTTTATACAGCCCAGACAGAAACCGGAGATTATCTATAGAAAGTGTTCCTTCACCTCTGTATCCCTGGCAGCAAAGGGATAGTTTAGCCTGGTGGAACCTGTAAGGTGATGAGGTATTTCACTGTTCCAAATGAGTGCTCTTTACGTTGTCATTAAAGTGTATGAAGTAGCATTTTAAGTGCATTTGGTTCCTTTTGTCATTCAAAGCGATTTTAAGTACTTTTTATTCCATGGACAAGTAAGCTGAGGCTGTGACTTGCTAATGGTGACAACTCTTGAATTTTAGTTGTAAAAGATCTGGAAGGTGCTTTTACAGTAGGTTCAAACCCAGTCAGGCCAGAATCTCATCACTATTAAAAATAAAATGAGACTTTTTATCTAGTGGAGAACTACAATATAGAAAACAAAACTAAACAGATGGTTTAAGATAAGTTTAAAAAATAACAGCATTTTAAACAATCATTTGAAAGGACAGTTTTAGAACACTTTCTTTTAGCTGTTATTTACTTGCCTTGTAAATTGATCACCATCCCAGACAGTATATCCATAAAGCATGCTGGGTAGTAGACACGATGATTCAGCATGAATGTTTTGTCAGTTTACAAAAAGACAATAGTCAGTTGAAGCATGAAGTTCTTTGGTGAAATGAAAATCTTAATCAATTCTGATAAACGGCTCAAACAACTCAAAATAAAGATTGTTTATGGGCATTTCTGGTTCCATGAAGAAACTTAAACATCCTTGGAACCTTTCCATTACACAAAAGGTTCTGTATAGTGGAGCTAAAACACTAAAAAAAATGGTTCTTTTAAGAACTGTTCACTGAAATGTTCTTCAGGGAGCCCTTAATAGTTCCCCAAAAGGCATCACTGCTATAACTTCCTTTTGGAACCTTCATTTTTAAGAGTAAAAAATCTAAATAGTTAATCAGAATCATGACAGTTTTGAAGAGCTGTGTAATTTTTAGATGCATCACACATACTTGGCTTAATCCAGATCGGATATTTGTATAAAACTGTTTGTGAAATCCAATAGAAGACATATTGTCTCAATGTGAAATTCACAATGTGAAATTTTAGCAAGAATGTTTTGCATCACAAGTTAGCTCTATCAGTCAAGCACCACACTTTTAGAAAGAAAATCATTAGCAACAGACTGTTATCTGTCGCTAATTATTGTCTAACTAGAGATAAATTGGTCTTTTTCCTAATACAGATTTATCTTTAAAGAGTGCATTACAAAGCATTACAAACCAATGGATCATCACAGAAATGAGCAACAGCAGTAAAAGCAGTCAAGCAATATGAAACACCTGTATATTTGTTCATTTAAAGGGATAGTTCACCCAAAAATGAAAATTCTGTCATTAATTACTCACCCTCATGTCGTTCCAAACCTGTAAGATCTTCGTTCATCTTCGGAACACAAATTAAAATATTTTTGAGGACTTCCGAGAGCTCTCTGACCCTCCCATAGACAACAATGTAATTAACACGATCAAGGTCCAGAAACGTATAGGACATCGTTAAAATAATCCATGTGACAACAGGGTTCAACCGTAATTTTACGAGATTACTTTTTGTGTGCAAAGTAAACAAAAAAAATTACTTTATTCAACAATTCGTCTCCTCTGCGTCACCCTGGCACCATTTTGGAGAGAATCCATATGTAAACAACGTATGTACGCAGATACGTTGTTTACACTTTGATCTGAACGTAAACAATGTATCTGCGTACATACATTGCATACGTATGTGCTTTTGGGTGAATTATCCCTTAATTCCTACAATTCCCAATTCCTTAAGACCTACATCTACAAGGCTGCTCTGAATGGCTTTTGTATAGTTTACTCAGTACTGAAATATCAGTATTTATTATGCTTTTGTGTTTCAACCTCAAATACTTTTCCTCACATTCACACAGTCACACACACATTCAGAGTTGATGATCTGCATAGCCGGGTAGCAGATTCGCTGAGCTTGGAAAGGAATACATTACTGCAAGCCAAAGCACTGGCAACATCCTGCACACACTCCTCCCTTTTTCTCTCTTCCACCTTTCAGACGGGATTCTGCTTAGCCCATCTGTGTTTAAATAGTGAAAGCCAAGCTGGCGTTATCAGGCAGAAACACAGCACAAGACACCGGTGAGTGTGCATCTGCAGTATGTCTTTTTATCCATTCTAGAGTGGTATCTGTAGTCTTTTTTTTACATTTAATGCCAGAATCCTTTGTGTTCTTTGATGCTCTGTGAGAGTTCTGTCCTGTGGGAAATAACCTTAACAAATGTCATGTCTGATAATGTTAGAAGAGATGTATTGCATCTTTATTTGTAGGCTGATGCATCCCTTATGTGTATACTCATGTTTTAGCACTCTGTAGTTGATCACCGTCTACTTTCGCAGAGTTTTGGCTTCAGTTCAAACTCTGCACTGTGATTGGCTCACTGCAGTCATTGGCTTGCTAGGTGCCTCATATATACAGTTATACTGTATTTTCACTGGAGTGAAATGATTGTTATAGTCCAGATGATCTATTCTGGAGTATATGAGAAGAAGAATGTGGATAGCAGGTACTAAAGTGACTGGATTATCAGCTCAGCTTTTTGCTGCTCTGTGTTGATGAGTTAAAGGGATAGTTCCCCCAAAAATTTTCACCGTCTACTTTCGCAGAGTTTTGGCTTCAGTTCAAACTCTGCACTGTGATTGGCTCACTGCAGTCATTGGCTTGCTAGGTGCCTCATATATACAGTTATACAGTATTTTCACTGGAGTGAAATGATTGTTATAGTCCAGATGATCTATTCTGGAGTATATGAGAAGAAGAATGTGGATAGCAGGTACTAAAGTGACTGGATTATCAGCTCAGCTTTTTGCTGCTCTGTGTTGATGAGTTAAAGGGATAGTTCCCCCAAAAATTTAAAATCATGTTTTCATTACTCTCGGAGAGAGAGAGAGAGGGGCAAAAAAGAAAAAACATCTTGGATGCATTCCTAATGAGGACTGGCACGAGGGCAGCCAGCACTTTCTGTGTTCTTCAGCTGCTCTTAAAAGCCCTTGGGGAAGTGGGATGTCTACAATAGACACTGACCACCACTCAGCTCATCTCTAACACACAGCAGAGTTAGGAGCCACCCCACAAAGCACTGTAGAGGAGTTGAAGGAGTGCTGAGAGAGAGAGAGCGAGAGCATGCTGACGATGCAGTACACTGCCCAGAATCCTGATGAGGCAACAGTGAGACTTCACTGCATTATGATCTCAAAGCCTGCCCCACCTCTCCCTCTCTAAACCTGACTCACTCCATATGTCTGAAGGGTGGATCACTCTGTTTCCTTGCCTACTTTGTTTCAGCTAGGATGTTATGTAACCTTATGTATGCTGTAAACACTGATACAGATGATAAATGTAATAATGATCTGTTGCCATATTTAAGTAATAGAGCTTACATGCACAGGCATATTAATGGAAGTTACAGTATTTATGAGCTGGGAAGTCATAATTATGAATTAGGTGCATTCATGTCACACTGATCAAAGCGCGATGGCGATTCCCTTTGTCTTCAACAAATTCAGCAAACATTTTAACTCAACACTTCCACAAAATTATAAATACAGAATGCACATCAGTTTTTATTTTATTTTGTTGTACATGCTGTAAACACTGATACAGATGATAAATGTAATAATGATCTGTTGCCATATTTAAGTAATAGAGCTTACATGCACAGGCATATTAATGGAAGTTACAGTATTTATGAGCTGGGAAGTCATAATTATGAATTAGGTGCATTCATGTCACACTGATCAAAGCGCGATGGCGATTCCCTTTGTCTTCAACAAATTCAGCAAACATTTTAACTCAACACTTCCACAAAATTATAAATACAGAATGCACATCAGTTTTTATTGTCTAGCACATCTAGTTTTATCGTAAATGAAAATAATATTACCCCCGGTTTCACAGACAAGGCTTAAGCCTAGACCCAGACTAAAATGTAAGTCTGAGCTGTTTTAACTGAAAGAAACTTGCACTGACTGATCTTAAAATATATCAGTGCCTTTATTTTGTCTCAAGACACACACCAGTAATGTTATTTTCTAAGGCACGTTTTTAAAAATTACTTAAATATCCTAATTGAACTATGGCCTAATCCTGGTTTAGTCTAAGCCCTGTCTGTGAAACCATGCCATAATGTTTTTATTAATTTGAATACATTTATCATTTATCACTGCATCTATTTTCCCACTGACACTTTCCTGTATTAGACACTGTGGGCTTAAAGTTTCAAATTTCCCTCTCGTAATTTCGACTTTGTGGTGGAGTTCATGTGCATTCAACTTGCAAATACAATCTTTCTGACATGACTTATAGCGACATGATTTATGAAAAATAGCCTCCTGGCTAATTCTGGCACATTTACAGTCAAATGTAAACAAATAAACTAAACTTTGTTTTTTTTTTTCATTTTAAGTTATAACATTTCTTTGTTCTATATTCAATTATTTAATATTTTCTTAATATTAACTTCAAAATTCTAAAAGAGCACAAAAAAAAAGTACTTTAAATCCTAGATTTTTAATGTTGCCTCAATTTTTGGACCTCACAGTATATGGACATTATTGAATCATGATCAAATGTCACTATGCCTCAAGATCCATTGATATTCTGTTTTTGTTTTTGAAAGAAACTGCTGAGTCATGGAAATGACCTGTCACTCTGTGTGTGTGTGTTGAAGTGGTGCTCATGTCTGAATATTGCAGCCAATACTATTCCCTCCCCCCACACTTTGCCACCCGTAACAGCACGAGACAGCAGAAATGTGAACTTGATATTATAATCTTTCCTCTTTCACATTTTCTCTTTTTTTCTCCATTTAAAAAAAAAGCAAGTATCCATGGGCTAAATGTCTTACAGCCGAGTTATTGAGCAGTGTGTCATTCGCTGTAGGACGTTGAACTAAAGAACATATGCAGGACAATACTGGCAGCTATTATGTCACATTAATGCTGCCTTATGTTTATAAACACCTACAGTATAGAAAGAAGTCACTTGCATTAAATTAATCAAAAATACATAAAATATTATGATATATTATTGCTGATTTGGTGCTCAGGAAACATTACAAATTGTATAGTGTAAATGCTGTTGCAGTAAATATTTTATATAAATTTTGTAATGGAATGAACACTGACATTTCCATTGATTGCCATTGGCCCTTTACTGTAGGTTGTGTTGAACATACAGTGCATGATGCTCTTTGCTGCATCTACTGTAGCTAAAGGCCAATCAATAACCCTGGCTATTAACATACATATGTAACATATAGTCTGTCATGCATAAAGTCTCTCTCTCTCCTCATATTGCGCATGTCTTCAAGTGACTTCATGTGTGCAGTGTGTTCAGGTCATGCAGGGGGATTACTAGCTCATGCCACCTGGCCTCTCAGAGGACACCTTTAGCAAACATATTGAGGGCCAGATTGTAGCTGTTGTCTCTTTGCCACATGGACATCCAAAACCAATGCGTTAGCCATCAGACTGAAGGGTTGGGTATCCTGATATGAGACGTATTCCGATACAAGAGCCGCGGGACGTGATCCGATAAAGACTGATAAAACGTACCTAATTGTCAGTGTAGATTTCAGAAGGTTGTTTTAGGTTCTTTAGGGTGTGATACTGGATTTAGTTGATTTCTGTTTAGTGGCTTTATTTTAAAATATCGCAGCTGTTTATTGGATAAATTGTGAACATTATTTGATATAAAACAACATTGTAATTGTATCATTGTAAATATTAACTTCAATGCTGTTTTCTGCATTATTTCCTTCCCTCAGTTTTACTGTATTTGTTCTTTTTCATTATTATTCTTTATATAGTATCATGGTTCAAAAGTAGACGTGAACGTAAAACAATTTAAAGGCTCTTTTTGTACCCTATTTATGCCTGTGATCACACAATTGACATTGCATTCACAATAGTGGATTTTATTTATTTATTATAAAAAGTGAAGACTCATTGACCTCACTGTTACGTCAATAGCAGTTAAATAGTATGAATACTATGTTAGCAATGACGGATCACCGAGGACATTTAGGACTGTTCTTTCTGAGAATCTGCATTTTTTATGGCCTCTAACCTCTGAATTCGTGCACTATTGAGATAGAGATGTGTTAAGTGACTCCTGGGGCTAAAATTCACTGCTGCACTGAATTCTAATTGGTTTTTAGGTTAAAGTTACTCCATAATGCATCACTTAATCATGTACTTGTAAGCTCAGCTATTTATGGCACATGTCATTAATGCTGAAATATGCATTAGCATAGTTGCTAAATAAGTTATCAGTGGGTCAACCCTGGACCAAGATGTGCAGCAATCAACAATTCCTGAACCTATCCTGTCCTTTAATGTTTGTATTTCAAGAACAACAAAAAATATAGCTGCAAGCAGCAATTATGGGGCCAAGCACTCCAAAGGCAAAATGAGGAGCTAAGCATGGCATGGATCATCAGACCAACTGCAACAATGAGTAATTAAAGCAAGTTTAGGATGATTTGACTGAAAAAATCATAAACACAACTTCTGTTAATATGATTTAATGGCTTATCGCTTTTGACCAATAGGTGACGCTGTTATCAAATCGATGTGTTATCAACACGAAATCCATAACTTTTTGTCAGCACTATCTGATGATGATCTGATTGGATTTTGGTGTAAATCAGACCAATCAGATCAGGAGTTCGAAAAAGTAGGTTTTCAACATAAATCAAAATGGCAGACAAGAACTCCGGCCGACTATGGTAAAATTGGTATCTATGTTTTCAGCATAACCAAAGAAATATTTTGAGACCAGTTTCATCACAATAGGAGAATGCAATAAAAAGTTATTAGAATTTATAGAAATTTCATTATTTATGGTTAATGAATGGTTTATTACTCTTGACCAATAGGTGGCGCTGTTACCAAAATGATATGGCCTGGTCAGTGTGAGGTGACAATGGCACATACAAAGTTGTAAATATGTCAAAGCTTTACAGAAGCTTTGGACGAACCATTCGGAAGTTATAAACAAAAATAGCCATTTTTCTTATCTCCTGACCACTAGGTGGCACTGCGCCGAAACACTGCAGGTAGCCTCAGGTCATGCTTGTTATAACACACACCAAGTTTGGTCTCAATACGCCAAACCGTTGCAGAGATATAGCCTCACATCCATTTTTGCGTGCTTTTCATAGAATTTGCTTGCGTGTTATTCGAGAACGGTTTGACGAATCAACTTGAATTCCATAACTTTTTGCCAGCATGGTCTGAAGATGATCTGAGCCCAATTTTAGTGAAAATCAGACAAACTTAGTATAAAAAGAAATTTTAAAAATCGCAAAAAAAAACCTTTACGATTTTTTTAATTTTGGTGTCCATTCGACTCAGCATGTGCCAACGAATCAGAGGAAATTCTGTGCCTTACGGTTCAAAAGTTATTAGCTTAAACATAAGTGAAATTTTGGACAAGAGGTGGACTACAGAGTTTGAGTTAGAGACTCCAAATTTGCTGTGGTTTATGTTGAGACTGTCCTCTATCTGTGTGCCAAATTTCACAACTTTCCCGCAAGCGGTTCTATGGGCTGCTATAGACTCAAGAGCGGAAGAAGAAGAAGAATTCTAACGAATACAATAGGTGCCATCGCACCTTCAGTGCTTGGCCCCTAATTAAGTCAGCATCGTGTATAATTTAGCTCAGGAAGAGTTTGTTTTCAGAAGCAGAATCATACAGGTCTTTACAGACAGAAGATATTCAGGCTAACCAGCAATGAGATATACAGTAAATGGAACTTAGTATTTTGGGTGATTTCCAGAGTGCTTATGTACTGTAAGCTCCCCATGAATGGCACAAAACAAATAAGTGGCACCACCTCCTGACCTTGCACTGTTTTATTTCTTTTAACAGACATATTTTCTCTGTGTTCTGTACAGAAGCTGAGAGTCTGAGTGAGAGCTGTCAGCTGGTCTCACGGCTCCATGTACCCTGAACCCAACACGGATTCCCCTGCTCGTCTCTCCACGCGGCAGACTGGATCCCCCTATACGTGAGCAGAGCCTTCTCACTCCAAGAGAGTCAATAGTTTGCTGATATATGAAAAGACCTATATCTCCAATACATAATCAATGCGCTGTATTTATATTATTCTTACCACCTTCACTAAATAAAGGTAAAAAGGACAAATGAATTTGTAATAACACTCCTTTTTTCTTTTTTGCTGTTGCTGTAGAGCTCGTTATGGGAGTCCAAAGAGGCAGCTGCAGTTTTACAGGTACTGTGCATCTGCTCTTCATGTGTAAATATAGCCAGCTCTCTACGAGATTACATAAAATGCTTTCATCCATAGCTATACAGTAGAGTAAAATGCAGAGATGGTCCCCCTGGAGTATCCTGGAATTAAGTGCCTTGCTCAAGGACAATGGAGATGGAGCGAGATTTTAAAATCAGTATGCTTAACTCTCCACTTCCTAATAAGTTCTGAGAGTGTAACTTTTGTGTTAACAGCAAAGACTTTTAACCATTTGTACGGCAGGTGATATATTTTAAAAATATATCTTAGGGGGGCATTTCTAACTGAAAACAGAAGACTTTTTATGCATTTTGGCCATTCATTTATATGACAACAAAGTTTTGGGCACCTGAAAGTGTTACTTCAAAAACACTAATTTTGAAAACGGTGATGTCACGCTTATGTTTATTACATATTTAGTCTAAAGGTATGTCTGCAGGTGCATAGTGTTTCTTCGCCAGCTAATGGCCAAAATGCATAATACAGTGTTTGTAGCCGTTTCCGTGGATCTGTGTGAACAGGGATTGTTTTGACGATGTTGCTGTCTATAATTGAAACGTTTCAAAAATGCAGACTTGCAAAGGAAAAACTTGTGCAAACTGTGTGCAAATGTACCTGTAGTATTTTGTAGTTTTTATATTTGGTATTCATTGTACTGTATATGTTGATATTTGCTCTAAAATTTTACTTCAGTCAGAGGAGCCATATTTTCAACCTAATAGACATTATTGCCAAGTTGATGTAAGTATGGAGTATATACTTAAAATATATACAGTACTGTTAAAAAGTTTGGGGTCAGTAAGATAAATAGTTAGTTTCAGTAAGGATGCATTCAATTGATTAAAGTATCAATAAAAACATTTGTAATGCTACAAAAGATTTCTATTTCAAATAAATGTTGTTCTTTTGAACTTTATAATTAACAAAGCAGTTTTCAACATTGATTATATTAAGAAATGTTTCTTGAGCATCAAATCAGCATATTAGAATGATTTCTGAAGGATCATGTGACACTGAAGACTGGAGTAATGATGTAAAAAAATTCAGCTTTGCCATCACAGGAATAAATTACATTTTGAAATATAGTAAAATAGAAAACAGAGACATCTTTCATAATCTTAAAAAATATATATATCTTACTGACCCCAAACTTAAACTTTGGTTTAGAAATTGTGTTTACAAAATATTGATATTGTTGTGCCATCACAGGAATAAATTACATTTTGAAATATAGTAAAATAGAAAACAGAGACATCTTTCATAATCTTAAAATATATATATATCTTACTGACCCCAAACTTAAACTTTGGTTTAGAAATTGTGTTTACAAAATATTGATATTGTTATAAAAGAATCTAAGAGTGGCCTGAGTGTTCATCACCAGCACAGAGATATGTTCTCTCTTGTGATCTTGTCAGAGTGATGCTGTAGCTCTTCCTGTCTCTGTTTAACTATTCCTGACACAAAGCCAAGATGTAGTGTAACTATTTCATAATGAGCTCTGCTGAGTCATTTGAGAGAATACTGAGCCTACGCTTACTGGCGTTCTGGTTTCACACGAGAGACGGAGAAACGCAGACTCGAACTGGCCTATGAAATGAGTTATATATTTAGACTGGATGTGATGTCACAGGCAAATGGTCTATGCTAAATAATAAATGCTACTGTTTTAAGGCACGCCTGGAGTCTTTAGTCACAGGGAAATGAAGGAAACAGCAAAGGTCGCAGCATTGTTGCTCGTTATGGAGAACTGTAATTAACACGAGCAAATAAGCTACTGTGGTTATACATTCAAAGCTAATGTGTTTCCTGTTGTAATGGGCAGCTAAGAACAACACTCACCATCTACTGTATGAACAAGTTTATGGTCTGCTGGGTTTGACTTCTACTTGAATACGTAACCTCTTTCTCGCTCTCTCTCTCACTCTCTCTCTCTCTCTCTCTCTCTCTCTCTCTCTCTCTCTCTCTCTAACATCTCATTCGCATCCCTATGGTCCTGAATTCATTCTCATCATTATCTAAAGAGGAATATTTGCACTTAAAAACAACAAAGAGTGACACACACATTCACTTATGTGACATTTGCATTTAAATTATTTGTTGCACTTTATTATTACAGTTTATCCTATGTGTGTAGAACTTTACCTTGTGTACCAACATATTTTTTGTTTTAAAATTTAATCAAATTTTATTATTTGTATTATTTTTTTTTACATTTATTATATTTTTTAAATAATTCAAAACATATCAAATATATTTTATTAATCTAAAATTGTAAATAATTTTAACTCCAGTTAAAAATATTTTATTTTATTTTAGCACGGATTTCCTCACTAGACAATGAACAAGGTAATATGCAATGCTTTTTTGTTCTTCATTCTGCTTGGGATAGCTGAGTTGTACTTTTGAATTCTGTACTCGTACGAAACAGAGAACAAGCAAAAATTGCTTTTAGTACACTTTCTTGTGGTACAACATCAAAGGCTTTTAGAGCAAAAGCTGTCTTGAATAATTCATGTTTGCAGAGCATTCTGGCACTGCGATAGGTTCGCAAAACATTCTCTCTGTGACATTCGCCAGAGTGGGTGGTGTCTGATGTTTTTGAGGGGTGGAGCTTTTATTTTGCCGTTCACTAATTACTAAAGCTCATATTCAAAAGACTCGGTTTAAGGAGGAAAACGGCAGTCTTCTTTAGTGTGCTGACCACCATTAAGTTGTCAGATGAGCAGTGTGGTGCAAAACCCATACGTGACTCGACCTCCGAGGAACCGGGTAAGTACAAGGCTGGTACATTAGCTGAACATGGGTCCCGCTTGAGGATGTTGCATGGTGATCCCGCTCACGCCCACAGTCCTGTCTCAGGTTAGAGGTGTTAGTGTGATGGGGGAACGGAGAGCAGGGCTTACATCCACAGACTGTCTTGGTCTACTGTAAGCTACTGCATCATGATGTTTTAGTTATGAGAGTAAAGAAGGTCGGTTTGCCTCATACTGAGTCACTTTCTTCCCACTGTAGGAGCTTTAAAAACTAAGCTGTGCAGAATGAGCAGAGGCTGTAATGTTGCAGATATGGTGGATTTGATCTCTGACTCGATGAGATATGAAGCCGGTTTCTACTTTTATGATGGGAGAAATGTCGTTTTGTTTATTATTCATCAAAACCACAGATAACCAGCATCAGACCACTTAATTTTTTTTTTTAATTGCTTGATTGCAAAAATATATGGGTGTTTCTTCAGGCTTTGGGTACTTTTGACCCTGTGTATTTTAAATCTCGTAAAACACACTTTTCACACTCACTAGTTTCTCACTAAATTTGTCAACTAAAAATGTCCAGCAGTGATACATCACAGAAGAATTGAATCTCTTTCTCTTTTTCTTTTTTTTGTCATTTCCAACACATCTCAAATTATATGGTAGAAAGCTAAATTCATAGTTAATATTTTATGTATTCTTAAAACACAATAAATAATTTAATAAGTATGTGTTGCATAATTCGACAATTGCAGCTTAATTGTAAATTATTTAAATATATATATATTTTTTAATTCTGGGATTTTTTTTTCTTTGTTTTTGTCACACAATCATCATATTCTTCACTAACATTGTTGTCTCTTTGGTAACTACGCTCACTAACATTACAGAGGCAACAATTGTTCTGTGTGGCAGAAATGACATCACATCAGGAAGCCAGTCATAAAATGCAGATGATTTACAATATTTAGAAAAATTGGTTTAAATAATTTTCAAACAATACATTTTAAAATAGATTTTTTCAATATTTATATATATAATTTTATATATCACTATTGGATATATTTATATATAATTTTATATATTTTTATGTATTTTATAAACTATTAATATTTATAAGTTTAAGCATGCAATAATTAATATTTTTATGGTGGATTTTAATTCAGTTTAAAATTGTGACGTTTTAGTTTATAAATAAAAAGTAGTAAAAAAAGCGATGAAGGCATGATCATTTTAGTGTGATCTTCATGTAACAAAGTAACTGAAAAAAAATCTGTGATATTAGTTTTAACTCACAAAATCAACCTAAATTGACCCAAAACCTAATTAGCCTGGTACATAAAAGTGCCCAAAGTTGAAGAAACATGAATATAGACACATTTTATATTTAGGCCTCTTGTTATGTTGCTGTACTACAAGTGAAAAGTACATGATGTTTACTTTTAAGATTCTGGCCTTCGTTGGGGTCAGTGCCAGTCTATTTTTTGACCGTCATACGTTGGTTAGGCTGATTTAACTGACTGGATCCTGGATAGTTTTGGCATTCGGGTTCTCCAGAACAACTGCGGCAGGCCTTACAGCATTCTTCACGCATGCCTGAATGTCCACTCACCTCTGTTGCTTGATCACGCATGTGTATGGAAGAATACTCCCACTTGACTTTATTCTATGAAGATCAGCCCGTTAAAAAGAAAGGGGCCGGGAGGGTGGTCTCTGAATGCGGTGTTGATTGCCATGGAAGGCGGGCGCTATTTAAAGCAAGGGCTCTGACCTGCAACAGTCTGCTGGTCTCTGTCATGCCACTGGCTTCACTCTTCTGTCTGTGTGTGTGAGACCCGGTCACCTGGTGCTAGGGCATGTTTGCCACTCACAGAAGCAGTTTGACTGAGGTGCGGGTCGGGCACGCCGGCCACCGCCTCAGCCGCCAACACAGTGTCCCCTCCGAACCCCTGCAGATCCCCAAAAATGGGCCGCCGGGGAACAGCATACGGAGGAGCAGCAGCATTAGCAGTGGCAAGATGCTGTCCCTGTCCTTCAGCGAAAGCATGCGGAGCGACATCGACCGCTACCTGTCTGACCAGGGCCTGTACCCTTTGCGGCAGGGTGGGGGGGAACTGGGGGAGATTAGGAGTCTGTGTGAGGTGCGGGCGGCCGCCCAGCTCAAAAACCTGGAGGACTTTCTGAGGACCAATGGAGTGTCGCTACAGGAGTCCATCTCCTTCCAGACTGGGAT